ATCAAATGATAGTGAATTTTTAAAATTATCAAATTCGATTTAATCGAAACAAAGTAATTTTTATTCTTTCTCTTTGATATTTTTTCACAATTTGAGGGATATTCTATATAGAATAAGAACGATTGTACTCCTGATTTTCGCAATGGCCCCTCCAGCCATCTTCGTCCAGCCAGTTAATTCGATCGTTCGCTACCCCAAATCGTTTAACCACCCTCTCTGCAATCGTCCACCGTCGAGGAATTAATCGTATTACAGGAGTATTTTTATTGGACGGATTACGAAACGATCTCCCTGTAATGGTCGTGTAAATTTTAAGAGCTCTGTGTTTTGAGAGCTTTGTTACACGTTGTTGAATGGCGTTAATGGCGGAAAAATGGAGGTTAGAGTTTTTTATTGCGATAGAGCGTCGCGATACGATTTTTATTTTCATTTTATTTTTTTTTATCTATTTATCTAATTAATGAAATTTTTCACAATTTATTTTTATAAATTATTTAATTCGTGATGTTATCATAATATTCATATATTAATTTGTTATAGAAGTAATTATATAATACAAAACAAAGTAATCTCAGTTAATTAAGATCTTAGATAAACAATTATCGTATTGCCATAATCACGTTCTTAATTTTATTCTTATAAATTTATACAAATTCCCATTATTAAATAAAATTGTATCATAAGGTATATAAAAAAATGTACAACTATCATCGAATTATAAATATTCTATCACAGTTAGAGATTTTTAATTTACATTTTATCGCAAATAATATCTTATAAAGCTATAATTAACAAATTAATTAAACAAGCTTAAGTCGCAATTCTTTATTTTCTATACTCACGAAAAAAAGAAAGTAATAATTACATACCACGAGGCGCATTAATATAATTAAATTGCTCAATATTCTCCATGTTCTTCCGCCTTCTTCAAATTCCAAACATTATAAAAACGACTTGTAACGGATTCCAACCGAATCGAAGTAGGACATGGGATTGAAAGAAGTGGGAAGAAGTGAACTTCATGGACCGCCCATAGCTGGCTTATCATCATCCGGCGCATAAGTAAAAAAAAAAAAAAAAAAAAAAAAAAAAAAAAAAAAAAAAAAAAAAAAAAAAAAAAAACTCGGAGGCGAGGTTCTAGAGAATCGGAAATATAAAAATTCGAAGCGAAAATCCTTGGCGAGTATTAACGTTCGAATATACGCACGTCGGTTTCCAATCTTTATCAAAGGATACTGGCTATCCTACTATCCTTTCCAATGTAAAGAACTCGAAAGAAAAAGATAAGGAGGGAGAGAGAGTACTGGTTGGTCCCCGTGGCGAAAGAATCCGTGCCTACCCCTCCCGACCGAGGCTCGAATAGTTCTCCATTTATGTTTCGCATTTATTGTTATTAGCCTGCAGTTATCGTGACCAAGTATATTGACTTAAAATTGAGCATGCATGTAATGCATTCGTACTATATTATATTACCCGATATCGAGTGCATGGATCGTTTCCTCCACGTGTTTTCTTGCGGAACGTTCGAACGAATTTTCATGAAGTTTCATAAGGATGGGATCAAGTTCGATATACTTATGAAATGTAATACCATGAAATGTAAAAATTTTTGAACACCCGGTATTTTTTGTATAATAGAATTTATTTATTAAATCAGTATGACAAAGATTCAAGTCATTTATAGAAATTAGAATTAATAGTATTATGAGGAAATTGTATAACTTATGAAAAAAATTCGAATCTTGTTCAATGTTGTTTGTTCGCGATATGTTCAGTCCCATCACTTGTGTTCGAATGTAGAATGAAAAATATTATTATCTGGATTAAAAATCGTGATATTTTTTTCTTTATTTTTGTTTCATTATATGCGAGATGGAAATACCTCGAAGGCATCGATTTTTAGATCGAAAAGTGGTCTTTTGATATACAATAGAGAGAGAATCGAGTCTTTGTCGGTGAGTTTGACTCTCGCATTCCATTTGGTATTAAGGTCGCGATTTTCGTTCGAATCTCGACTTGGAATCTCAATTCCACTTTTTTCTCAGTTCTCTTTCGTGTCGACTGCAAATGAAACGTGAATAAAGTTTTGGAGCTGTATAGCGGCTACGAATAGTATTTGCATATTATTGAATTTAATATGGTGGTGGTGATATGAAAGAAATACATCTAGAAATAAATTAATCGTTTTTAAATACACAATTCAAATAATCAACTTTTGAATATATTATACGCTATAATAATAAAATTTTAAAAATCTATATCAATTAGAAATATTTATAATTGTCAGCTATCTTGTGTTCGGATAACGAATAATTAAAATTTGATTGATACATTCTATCGTAGTTACAAACAGTTTATGGAATCATAGTAATTAAAATATTAATTATTATAAAACTAGGAGTCGAGACGCGCGATATAGCTTATTTCTTATTTAAATCGTCACCCCTGATTCGTAATCATGCCTCTGGCCTAACTCGAATTTGACTGACTTTAAAAGAGGGAACGAACATTGCTCCTGCTACTTTCTATTCCACCTTCAGTCTCGAATTTTCCTCGTAATTTCTCGCCTCCCTTTAATTTTCAACCCTTCGTAAGCACCTTGAATTTCTTTCGACAATATCTCTAGCAACACGCCATAACTGCGATAAATTTACGAAAAACTTAGTTTAAGTTTTAATGGTAAAATTACGAAAAGTTAGTGAGAGTTTAAGTTTGTTCGACTATGCTATGTTATTTATTTTTACTTGTTAATAAATGATTGGTATGAAGTAATTGAGAAGATTTGAGAAAAATTGAGAAGGACATAAATTAATGTATTATAAGTAGACTGCGCATATTTATGCAAATTGAAATTTTCATGAATCTAATTATAAAAATGGAATTTGAATAATAATAATCTGTATCAAGACATATATATATTGCTTTATTTTAAATATTTCAAATATTTTGTATATGACGTGCATTTAAATTTTCTATAAATATATAATCATTCTCAATTTAGTTCTAATAAATAATGATATAATAATATTTTCTGTAGCCAGAGTAATTCATAAAAAAAAAAAATCTGGAACGTTTCAACTTATATCATGTAGCCAGAATGAGAAATCAATCGCCGAATTTTCTCTTGCAAGTCTCCGAGACTCTTTCAAACGTCGTTTTCCTCTCGCCATTACCGTACTTACTCGCAGCACGGCCAAATTAGTGGAACGAAGAGGTACAGAAAACGAAAAGAAGAGGAACAGAGACGATCAATGCGCCGCATACCGGTATAGCCAGCAACCAGCAGCCGAGTATCATCGGACCGGCTACGCTCGAGTTTCTTAATGTAATTTTCCTTTTTTGCCTCCATTCGCTTTACGATCGAAACTTTTGCCCTCTCCCATCTCCTCTCCCTCGCTCGTGTTCCTGTCGTCCCATCCCTTTGCCTTCCACCTCCCTCCATTTCCTTTTCTTCTTCTTCCTCGACTCGTTCTCCCGCCTCTTCGTGGTCCACCTTCGCGCGCCCCATCCCTTCCCTCGTTTCCTTTTCGTCTGCTCGAACGAGCCGTTCGAGCACGAGTTTGCGAACTTTCGTGATTCTATATTACGCGTTGGCCCCCTGTCTTATGCTTTTCTCTTGCGTCGTTTTCTTCCTCGAATCTCGGTCCGCAGACTGGCCGTAATTATGCATCCAAGTTGGAAGCCCGATTAAACGATATTTTAGATAGGAAGTGGGAAAGAATGCCTCTATCGAACTCTGTTTCCTTGCATTTTTAAGGCCGGTCTACACTGGCCGATCGTGTTTCCATGAATAAGATAAATTGAAATAAAGTGAAGTAGCGTGATAACAAATAAGAAATTGGAAAGTGTTTACAAATAATCTGCAGGTAATTGTATCCTTAATTAGATATAGCATAGATCTAAAGAATAGACAAATAGATTCTTAATTAATTGTAGGGAATAAAACTAGAAAAAGAAAGAAAGCCATGTAGCCATCTTTGATTAGTGGTGCACTCTATAGAGAAATTTAGTTATTAGCAATGACATGCTTTGTAGAAGTTTATAGTTACCGTTGAAATTTGGTTTCATCTTCAATTTTAACACTGTGAAAAGAGATTATTCTTTAGAATAGATTTAGAGATTATTCTGTGATTGTATATTGACCTAAATTTTGCCGAAGTATATCAGGTTATATGTAAACGTGCATGTGATACATTGTTGAAAAATACGAAGAGTAGATCGATCTTTATTTTATGATGCGTTTGTTTGTTACGTTCATGTTTGATTGAAATAACAGAAATGTGAGTTCACGTTGATTTTATTTAAGCTCTTTCGTAGTGGATCGAGACTTTAAATCTAGCGGATCATTGAAGATTAAACGAAATTGTGAATCGAAATGTCGAAATTGGTTCGTGTATATTTATGGAATCGGTTCGGTAAATTTTACGAATCAAAAATTGTTATAAATACAATATTAATACAAGGTTCATTAAATGACGTCATTTAATGGTGCATATGGCTATTTTAGTAATGCATAAATGAATAACTTTTGTTAGTTGTTCTTCTTCGAGTATATATACTTTTTACACAGATACAAAAAAGATTTGATTTTATTTAAAAATGTTTTATTATTTGTATTAATTTTTAAATGAAGAAATAATATAACGAATCATTTTATCAATTTTTACATTTTCATAATATTAAATTTTCCTCTCGTTTTACGAGAATAAATAACGTGCCATTTCAATTATGATTTCTGATTAAAATTATACGTATATTTTATATACATATATACATATTTATACACATTAATACTGATTAAAAACTGATTATCTTTAACAGTAAGAATTTCTGCAATTTAATATTCTATTAATTAACACCTGCGATCTGTACTTCACTTTATTATATCTTCAACGATTTAAAATCGAAGTTTTATTCACGAAGTAAACAATTTCCATGGAAGAAATCAACCGTATTCTCGATGCAATTGCGTATATTTGCATATAGTACGATTTCGAGAAGATGGGAGAAGAAAGAAAAATATCAGTGAATCGACATGAAATTAAAATCAACGAAATACTAACAGACGATGATCCTATCGAGCGCATTTTACAAGGTTATCGACGAAGAAGGTATGAAGATAGCAAAGGAAGAAAGGGAAAAGCCGCGGCTTCTCGCGCGGCCACTTAAACATCCAGGCGGTAGAGAATTTACGTATCGAGGAGTAGAATGCGAGAAAAAGGGTGGAGGGAAGGTGCCACGAGAAGAAAGAGACGCAGGATGGTCTGCATATAAAGTGGACACGAAATGAAGCGGGTTACGTTGCTTGGCTGGTATAGGAGCATATGCCTCTCTCCTCCATCCGTGAAGTTTGCCTCGCCTTTTTACTCGGTGTACATTTCGTTTACATAGGATCCACGTGCAAGCGGGCGTGCAAATGCGAATATACGCTATGGAACGTGTACATGCTTGGCCGTGTGTGCACAATGTATACAGGGTGAGTCATACAAAGTGTTGTTTTTTTTATGATATAATTCTTTTTTTTAAATTACACAATTTATAATTCAAAGTGTAACACATTTTCAGGAGGCGTTAAAAAGTTAAAAAAATTCTTCTCTTCATTCTTTTAAGTGGAATATTCCTAAGGATATTATAGGTATATTAAGATTTTGTTATTTGGTTGTCATTGAATCTAATAAAGAATTTATAAATAAAAATTATTTTTCTTTATTATGTAGATAAAGAATTATGGAAGCTACGAAGAAAAAGAAACAGTATGTGTTCACAGTTATTCTGCAACAAGTTTTTTTTTTATGGAGATGCATTTTGAAACTGAAAATATTACTCTCTCCATTTTCTTTCTTTTCTGCATAGTTAATTTCTAAATTTTCATTATTAATTTAAATTATTTAACACATATCAATGTAATTTCTGTAAAATTTCTGAAAAATTCTATAAAAAAAATTGAATCTCATTTATCAATTTAGTAAAAATCAAAATTGAATAAAATAATTCAGTTCTTTTGTAGCAGAATATAAAAAAAGTTTTTCAAGTAAATATTATTGATTTTTATAATAACAAAAATAACAAAAATGTATTTACTATTTCATTTAAAACAATTTTATCATAATAATAATAATCCTGTCAAATATTGAGTTTAAACAAAAAAAGCATATCGATATCTGCAACAATCTCCAAAAGAATAGCTTGTACACAACATTTCACATGACTCACCCTGTATACAGAGAAGAGTGTAAGAAAAAAAGAGGCTGTATTCCGTGCACCGTGTTGGTGGGCAGGAACAGAAGAGAGAGAGAACAGAATCCACGTAAAGGCAGGGCATCCACCATCACTACCAGCAACAAGAAAGGAAGAAAGAAGGACAGAAAGAAGATCGAGGCTTGGTTAAAAGCGCGCAGGGTGCTCACAATGGCCGACGATTTTCAACTTTTGCTATCGCCTAGCCGAGAATGGAAAATGGAGAATCCCAACGCTGGATACATATATATATATATGTATATATATCTACACTGAACTCATTTACTTTGAAAGTTTCTCGAGAGCCTCCTTGCATCTCTTTTCACCCGCGTTTACTGTTTTCTCTATCTTCTTTTCATCCTGGCATATCCGTTACCTTCGAAGAGATATTCCCGCACCGTGGATCGAGCGTGAAACGCACTCCTGCCAATTATCGATGGAGATTTCATGGATTTTGCGAATTAAAGGATTACACACGATCGATTCGAAGAGAAGAATGCAAAATCGATTTTAAATGGTTTTTTTTTTTTTAATTTATTAAGTTTCAGATATCTTTGATCAGATATCTGTTTCAATTTTTTTTTTTTTTCTTTAACTTGTATAAAAATCTTTTTAATGATCATTGGAATATTTTAAAAAGATTCAAGGAAATAAATTATTTATTCTTTTTTATTTAAATTTAAGAATCTATTAAGGAAATGATATGAGTTTATTTTTGGAAAAAAATCAAGGGAATGAATAACTTGTGTATAATTTACGATTTGCATTTTAAAATATCCATTTCGATCAATTGAAAATTAATTAAATAAATAATATTTGCGCATGAAAATGAACTTGCATCGTTCATTTTGAAAATAATGCACGTTTATTTTTTAAAATCTAATAAATATTTGATAATTCAAGAAATATAGTAAATTTAATCTAATTTAGAATATGCTCAGAATAAGTATTGAGATTAAGCAACAATATTTTATTTTTTATTCTTATAATTTATTCTTATAATTATTTTATTATTTTTTTATTCTTATAATTTTCATAAAAACTATATATATATATATATATATAATGAATTAATAATATTGTTGAATTAATGGATATATATATTATTTTAACTATTTTTTTTCTCCAAAAAAAAACTCCATCAAGAGTGAAAAAAGGTACATATCACGACGAACTTTTCTTTCCCATCTGGTCAAATGTTCTTAACTTCTTCCCAAAAATCCGCTGCTCTTTTTTTCCAGATGAATTCCCTTGAGCTACTCTCCGCAACGTCACTTTAATTCCATATACGACCACCATCGTTCAAACTTCATTCAAACTCCTCCAACCAGGTACATTCAAAATATATTTCCATAAAATTAGATAAAATTAGAGAGAGAGAGAGAGAGAGAGAGAAAGAGAAAAGAAACTAATCTTCATATCAAAAAAAGAAAAAAAAAAAGAAAATGTTCAAGTCAACTCCAATTGACCAAAAGGATCAAGTCTGGGTTTAAGGAAGATTTGCTGAAGAAAAAGTATAGGTAGCCAACTATAAATCAGGCCCATGGAAGGATTACGTGAACGTTGTTGGCAATGATGGTGCGTACCCCGCCGAATTCCGGTCAGTAAATGTCATCGTAAAAATATAATCGCGCTAATGATAAGCAAATGGAATACAAAACGCAGGTACGTGGAGGCTAACGATCGTCAAAAGTCAGGAAGCTCGGTCGTAAATTCGTCTAAGACATTTATAGACGGACACCTCGCGGCCGGAAATTCTTCCTAGACCTCTAGCTGAGCCTCTGCAACAGACCTAACCTAATCTCACAAGTGATCGTTAATTTGACAACAGAGTTTCTCGAACTGTGTAAGAATTGGATCGTAACGTCCAGACCTGTCTCGTTAATTGTTAGAACGATTTATCGAGTTGGTTGGACAATGGTAAGATTGTACTTAAAGGTTACTTGGCTGCGATCCAAATACTGGCTAAGAGCTGTTTTGGAACGTACTAATTCCATGATTATTTGGTTCAAAAGAAGTACTCTTGTAAGAATATTGTTTTCAATTATAAATTATTAATAAACATTTATATATATTTATTATTATTAATATATATTTATTATTAATATATATTTATTATATTAATAATAATAAATTTATTATATTATTATATTTATTATTAATAAATATTTATATATATTTATCTTTTTTTATATGAAAACCAGAAATAAAATTTGTTATTTTTCTTGTGAAACTTGAAAACTATAATGTTGAAGAATTATAAGAATTCTAAATAAAAGATTATTATAAGAATATTTTTATATTATTACAATTCTTATATCTCTTTTACATTATGATAATTTTTAAGTTCTATAAAAGAATGCTACAATTCTATTTCTAATTTTTATATAAAACAAGATAAATACATAAATTTTTATCAATGGTTTATTTAATTTTCTCAATTATACATTCTCAGAATATTATATTAACCATTACATTTAAAATTTCCCATAATCCTTTTATTAATTTCTTTAAGAATATTATCCTTTAACTATTTCAATTGCAGGGTTGTTTAAAGAGACCTTTTTTTTTTTTTTTTTTTTCTCATTTAAAGAAGAAAGAAAGAGTTTACTGATTTGAAAATTTTCTTTGGAATCTTGGAATTCAGCTCGAATTTACCTCGAATTTCAGAGGACGAACGGTAGCCCCCAGTATGGTATCGAAACGATATCGAAACCCATTCACGTATAGTTTCTCTCACGGGATCGGGGGCTTTCCATCAGTCCCACGCGGACACCGATGCAAATCGTAGCACGAACGGTGCAAGGAAGATGATACAAAGTGGCCGTAAAAATTCCTATCGCACTCGAGAGATAATGGAGGGTTGTATATCCAAGGCAAAATCGATCTCCCTCCCGAGAATTGAATTCTCATCCAAGATTCCGCTGTTATTCGTATTTTGAAAATCTCTAAAATCGAAATAAAAAAAAAATAGAAAAAAAGAAGGAAAGCAATAAAGTTAATTTAAAAAATTTCTTTTATTACAAAAGAAAATTGTATGATCGTTCAAACTTCAAGTTACATCTTCTTGATTTATGTAAGTACTTTGCAATTAGAAACATTTACATGTCTTCATATTTTTTTTTGTTATATGAAAAGTTTAAGAATTATTTTTGTATTTGTTATTCCTTGAAAAATTACTAGTAGAATTATTAATTATTTGTTTCATTATTCTTTCTTAAAAATTTATTATAAGATTAATTTCTTCAAATACAAATACAAAAAGAGTTATATTAAAAAATGTAACACATTTAAATTGATTTAATTTAAAAATAGTTGACTGTGATTCTATGTAAGAATACTTATAAAATTAATATCGATTATTAGAAAGAAATGTTGATTGATTGCTAAAATTGCAATGAAGGAAGAAAAAAGATGAAAAAGGAATTTTTTTTCTCAGAAATTCTCGAATTGCTTAAACGATTGCCATGGAACGTAAGGCATGTCATCGATCTTCCTGAAGACACGGATCGATCAAACGAGCTACCACCAATGGCCGTGAAAGGACGACACGCGATACGAATTCGTAAACTTGTTCCTATACTTTCCTCCTCTTCGTAACCTTTGCTCGTGGTTAATTAGCAAACCAAATTGTAACTTTGGCCGAGAATTGTCGCTCCTCCCTGGCGAAAATCCGACTTTTATTACTCTAACCGCGTTCTAAGTGTAAATTATGAAATCCTAGGAGGAGGATCTAAGATTCTCCTCTTCTATGAGCATAAACCTTCCGTCGCCTGTAGAATTTCCAATTCGTCGTGATTTGATCAGAAACTAATTTCAGAAACTTCGAAAGCTTGCAGAATTTTGTATTAGAAATTATTCATAATCTTATTTTTATATTACATATAAAGCATTAAACAAATAATTATATTTATAAGGGTAGTTTTAAATATTAAGATTCAATTTCATGGCTTATGAAATTTATTTATCCTTTAAAACTTACAAAGGATAAAATTTTAAATTAAACAAATATTATTTTCACATAACTTTCTTTGATGTCGTATTTTAAAAGTTAATCAAACATTAGCTATTAGTAAATTCAATAAACTTTTTAATCCATGAACGAATCCACAATTATTTGATTAACTTAATTCTGAAGTTCTAAGAACACCTTGGAAGTTATAAATTCTTTTCTTTTTTATCTTATATACATATCTGATTAAACAAGTATTTCAAAGTTTCTGGAATAAATTTATTTTCGATATTCCATTTATCCAATCTTCCAAAAGTTAAAATATATATGATATTGTTTTTTTACAAAATTGTTAAAATTCGAAGCAAGAAAAAAATCGTATCGATTAAAATTCAGTTGCATCCCATGTTGCTTAAACGAGCTGTCTACCCTCCACTATCGAGGGGTGAGAATATGTACGTTCGCGCGGAGGAGCGCGGATCTCTTTGCCATCAGATTGCTATGAACTAATTTAACCCCTATCCAATCTTCACGGAGCTCTCGTGCATTCCGCGCCGTTTTTAGATTTAACCTACCCAAATATGCAAATTGCAGCCGGAGCGTAGCTGGCGAGGAAGATTCCTCGAGGAGAATGGCCGATTCGAAGGGGGGGTGGGGTGCATAATCCTCGCCCATGGGAGATTGTGGGCGGCCGAAATGAAAGAGCAAAAAGGATCTTTGCCGAGGAGTACGCGTGGAGGACGAGAATACGTGAGATAGAGGAGGAGAAAGGAGGCAGCGCGAATTGGAAGTGGAAGAAAGATGGAGAGGAAAGGAACGAGAGAGGATCCATTTGGTCTCGCATCGAATGCACACGTGCGTAACGGTGTTCGTACGATCAAGAAAAGTCGAGGGAAATGAGAAGTTGTGACTGTTCGGAATCCTGGAATCAACGTGACTATTGTATTCGAATTTTCTTTATGGATGGGATATGGAAAGCTTTGAATTCTTTATTGTGAGGATTGTGACAGAAAGTGAGATTTAGGAGTTCAAATGAAGAAAGGATGTGCAAGGAGAAAATTGTAAAACGAGAAAAATTGAAGAGAAAATAGTTTTGATGGGCAATTGAGATTAGACATAACCTTATTTAATTTAAAAAATTTGATCTATTAACTATTTATTCATTTTTCAATCGTAGAGCATTCTTTCTATAATCTTTCATCAAATACATGGCAACACAACATTATAATCGACTAGAACAGTGTAAATATTCGATTGAATTGATATGCGATAGGACAAAAGACTATAAATACTCGAGTGTTTCACTATGCAATAATTTTTATGCAATGATGTTTTTCTTTTTTTTTTTTAAAATTTACACAAAACAGATATTAAATTCGAGATTATACAAATGGTGAAAGTGGCTCGATTTATCTCGAAAAAAGAAGCGAGAATATACTGCAGAACGTCCGCTTAAATCGCGCTTTTAACGCACTCTGAGAGAGATCATGGTGTACACACACGGTTGAACTTTCGACCTACAAACTCTTTGCGACGATGATTTATGTTTAAGTTATGGTTTGTGAGCGAGTAAAATCGCCGATTATACAAGCCTACGCGTAGGAATCCGCGTTTCATCCTGATGAAAACCTTAATAAAGCGGCTTAATAAATTAACCTTTTATGTCCAGCACGAATTCGGTAATACGTAATGCGTACGTACCGATTGCGTCACGTTTTTACGTTCGATACGTTCGAGTATTATGTCGGATTTGTGTGAAATACGAACTGAAGCTGTTTTTATATTACGGTGTAGTGTTCAAGAAGTAGTTAATTTACTGTTATTCGCGATATAATTTGGTTTTTTTTGTATATGTGGATATTTAAGTGAAAACATTCGAAAAAAGTATAATTAGATTTAGGCTGAAAGGGAAGAAGTTCATGAGAATGAAAATTATACGTATCTTTTATGCGTGTTCCTTTTGCATACATATTAGTATATACAATATTTAATTACATTTTTCAATTACTTTTTAAATTCATCGAGTGAAGCATACTTCGATTTTTGTTGTCGTATAGAATGTGTTAGAAACTCGGTCGATAAGGGTGCGAAAGCGTAAATAGCGCATCGTTCCCCTGCACATAATTCCAACGATGTTCGTGTGCTCGATCGTTATTCCAGTTTTCGACCATTCGTATCGAAGACAGCCTCCTAGATATCCCCAGAACAGCAGGAAAGACGATTTTATTCCCTATAATCCCGAGAGGGGTACGATAATATACCAGTAATATGGGCGCCATACGATGGCCGATTAAGGAACGTAGACGGTGGGCGAGAAATTAAGAAGTCCGGTATCCAGAAGAGAGTCAAGACGTTTCAGGTTATTAAATGAAATCGCACAGGAATGTATATAAGTATCTAAACGTTTTTTGCGGACAGGGGGTATAACCTGTTCCTTTCCGGATTCCCTTCGGCCGATAATTAAGTAACGGATAAAAATCAATATTAAAATCGCGTGTCCGCGTCTAAGATACCGGTTCCACATCGTCACTACTAATATTTTAGCAACTTTATCATAGCTACGCTCCAGCCTTCTCATTGGATTTGTTTTTTGATTTTCGCGTTGCGAATTTTCTTTCTTTTAGAGTTGAAATTGAATGTTATTATAATAAATTATTATTCTATTTTTTCATTCCCTAAAATTCATTTTATCTTGAATATATATTTGAAAAAAAAATTATTTTAACATTTCTTACTTTATTTAATACTTAGTTATGATAATTGCAGAATCGTGATTGTCAGTTATTCGAGGAGATTTCTAAGGCACATGCGTGTCTCAAGAATTAGTGGGGATAACTCTAGGAGAAAATGCGACAGTTAAGAAGGAGCTATTGTGTATCACTTTATCTTTCATGAAAATAAAAATAAATCATTTTTTAAATATGTTCCATTTAGAATACTTTGTATATACGTTCTATGATAAAATAGCTTATTTAATAATGACATTTTCAGAAGAATTCAGTGGAAGAAAATACAGAAAAAGTTTAGATTTCAATTAAATCGAAAA